TTCACCTCCTCCCAATAGTGCCAGAAGTTGGCCACCAAGCCCTGAACCAAGATCAAAACTGTAGCTCGTTGGAGAGCATTCAAAGTTAGTATATGCTACGTCTGAGGCTTGGGAAAACAAGATTAACTGAAGTTTTTTTGCCAGGCAGTGGTGGCAAAGGTATACAGATCTCTGTGAGTTCGATGCCAGCCTGATCTACAGAGTGAGTTCCAGAACAGAACAGAAACTCTGTCTTGGGGGGGAGAGGGGACGTGGAGAGATTAAGAGCACTGTCTGCTTTTCCATAGGACCCAGGGTTCAATTCCCAGCACCTATGTGGCAGCTCACAACTGTCCATGGCTCAGTTCTAGGGGATCTGATACCTTCACATAGACAGACATACAAGCAAAATACCAATATACATAAAATAAAAGTAAATTTAAAAAATTTTTCAAGGAACTCACCCTCTTGGTGAGCAGATTATGTGCGTGCAAAAAAATATGCAAATGATGGTTAATCTTGACAGCTTGGTTGAACTGCGAGATTTCTAGGAATTAGTAAAGCACACTTCTTGAGTTTCTGAGTTTTTCCAGGCATCCCGAGGGCTCTAGCCTCATGAATGTCTCATTGGTGGATCTTTGAGGCTATTAGAAGGTGGTAAAACTGCAGCAGGTGGAGCCTGGTTGCGGAAGTAGGTCACTGGGGTGAGGCGTGGCCTTGGGAGTGAGTCGTCTGTTGCCCTGGCTCTGTTCTACTCTATTTTGTGCCTGCCTTGAGGTGAACAGCATGCTTCCCACAATCCCCATCGTGATGGAGCCTCCAAAACCATGGCTCAAAATAAATTGTTCTCCTTAAGTTGCTCGTGCAGGTATTTTGGTTACAGCAACGAGAAAGCAATTGACCCCCAATTGACCCACGTATATTAACAACAATCGCTGTTAGCTGTGGCAATAATGAGTGTGAGGAACTTGATTAAACAGCCCCACTGTGGTCACAGAGACATGCCTAAAAAGGTATGTCAAAATCATGTGGTGGTGTTTAAAACTTAAAGTTCCAATTGGAGCCGGGCGGTGGTGGCGCACACCTTTAATCCCAGCACTGGGGAGGTTTAGGCAGGCGGATCTCTGAGTTCCAGACCAGGTAGGGCTACATAGTGGAAAGAAAGAACTCCACAATGTCCTGTGACTTCCACACACATGCCCTGGCAAACACGTGCCCACATACACGTAAGGCGCACACACTCGATGCGTTTCTTTTTAATTTAAAGGCTTTAGTTTCTCAGTACGTAGTTCTTCATTTCTGCTGAAAGACCTAGAGTTCCAGTTTAACCTCCTCCTCTGTGACCATGGGACAGTAATTTCCTCATCATGGACCTGTCTCCTCATCTGTAAAATGAAGCATTCTCTGTGATGACTTTTAGGTTGGATCATCTCATTATTTTCTTTTTTTGTTTGTTTGCTTTTTTTTTGGTTCTCCAAGACAGGGTTTCACTGTAGTTTTAGAGCCTGTCCTGGAACTAGCTCTTGTAGACCAGGCTGGCCTCTAACTCACAGAGAGCCTCTTGCCTCTGCCTCCCAAGTGCTAGGATTAAAGGCGTGCGCCACCGCCGCCCAGCTATCTCATTATTTTCTAAACTGAAGATTTGTCAACTAGAACCCAAGTCAGTTGTGCCAGTTACTGGGCATTTAAAGCTTAGCTGAACATGTCCCTGTCATTTAGAATCGTACAGTCAGTCATGACAAAGGTATGTCAGAGATGCTATGATGTCACAGGAGGAGGTCCCTGGTGCATCCCAATGCGTCAGAAAGGGTCTTGCGACTCGGTCTGAGGCTGGAAGTTCTGGAGTGGATAGAAGTGATTGAACGAGCAGAAGCAATGTGGAAAGGACTGAGGTAGACTGTGCAGTCTTTGCATGACTCCAGGAACGCTATCATGTTTCTTCTGCAGTCCTTTTTCCCACCCCTAACTGAACCGCTAGAGACTGTAGGGGAGACTTTGAAATGGAAGTGGAAAGTCATATGACGGCCTAGCTGTTGCTCCAAACAGTGTGGTTTGTCCAGTAGGAGGGAGGAGGAGACTCGTATCCTGGCCTTCCTCTACACTTGCCTTAGACTGTTAGTCCCCTTTCCCGCAGTAAGTTAGCCACATCTCCTGCAGGCTGTTCTTTTCCTGAGTTGCCGCCTCATCCTCTGGTGAGAACTGTTTTAACTAATCCAGCTTGTGAGAAGGCACTGCCCTCTGAGACACAGCTCTTTCCTGACATACTACTGAACTTTGGGCTCCATTTAACGCCTATCATTCTGTCACTCTGCTTTTCGGTGTGGCTTGTTGGCTGGTACCAACCATGAAGGCATAAGCAATAGAAATTGAAAGTGAATGCTTATAAAACAACAAAATCGTTCTTCACCACAGGTAGTGTGAGAAATATTACTCCATCAGACAAAATCCTGGACAGGAGACTCATGAAGTTTAGTGATTGAACAATTGGATTCCTTTCGTGTGCCAGGCCCTGTGTGAGGCCTTGGGGAATGAGTGTCAGCTTCTCTGTGCTGGGGAACTTTGATGGGAATGAGCCAAGGCAAGAATGTGGACAGACAAGATAAGCCACATAAAGAGGGTGAATAATTTAAACCCAGAAAAGGGGTAGGGAGCACACTCTGGATTTGATGGTCAAGCAAGTACATCTTCGGGAAGGCTTGGCTGAGACCTGAATGACAAGAACATTCTGGACAGAGGAACAGCTATTCTGGAGTAAGTTTGACCTGACTCAGGGACCACAATCTCTCAAGCCAACGGTCTTCATAAGAGGAGTGGTTGGGGTTTAGGGGACTGTTGCTTCTTACAATGAGCTACTTTCATTTTCCCTAAATGTGTCCCCTTGAGACACACTAGTGGCCAGGCCCCTCCCCCTGAGGACCTCCAACTGCCAGGTTCCACCCACAGAACACTCCTAACTGCCCTACTAGCTGAACCCAGCCCACACCCTACAAAGCCCACGCTCTGAACTTGAAACCCCACCAGTCCCACCCTGGAAGGCTGCACTCTGAAAAGGTCCACCCCCACTCTCCAAGAAACTGTTTAAACCTTGCCTTCCGCTCAGTTCTCTGCTGTTTCACGCCCGAGCAGAGGCAGCCACCCTCGTGGGGTTTTCCCTTCCAATGACTCTCTTGTGTGGCGTGTGTTGTGCAGTGTGACGTGTGGTATTCTCTGGCTCCCAACTGCTAGGCCCCTCCCATCGGAGCTGTAACTCACCCTAAATGGGTCACATTTTCTTTCCTCTTTGTGCTTTTTTTTTTCCTGTTTTTTTCTTTATGAACTCTTGCAGCACGAAGGGTTGAGTCTCAGTGCCTGTGGTCTGCTCCCACAGCTGGCTGGCTTACAGTATATTGTATTAATATGTTTTTTTTTACTTATTTATTTATTATACAATATTCTGTCTGCTTGTATGCCTGCAGGCCAGAAGAGGGCGCCAGACCTCATTACAGATGGTTGTGAGCCACCATGTGGTTGCTGGGAATTGAACTCAGGACCTTTGGAAGAGCAGGCAATGCTCTTAACCACTGAGCCATCTCTCCAGCCCCTGTATTAATATGTTTATAGGCTTGAGTTTGGTATTATCATTGTTGACTGTATCTGTCTTTCATCCCAGAACTAATTTCTCATGCCAAAAAATATTTCTATTTTGTTTCTTATAGCTCTAACAGTTATGAAAGTACTAGACTGATTAAAGGGACATCTAGTCAAAACTAAGTGAGATGGAATGAAATGCTCCTTGTGGCAAGGTGAAGGCCTCCTGGTCTCTCACAGGAGTAGAAGAATATCTTACCAGCTCTGCTTAAAAGTGGAGAAGAAATGCCTTTCTTCTGAACCCAGCTTTCCCTCTCCCAATGACAACCCAAAAGATACAAGCACAAAGTAAGGGCTGAGGCTGTAGTACAGCGCTGGAGTATTTGACTAGCATGCACGGGATCCTCGGTTCAATCCCAGCACCACCAGAATGAAAAAGGAAAGGAAGAGAGAGAGGAGAAGCAAGCAAGCTAAATTTGGGGTAAATTTAGTGTTCAGGCCTTGGATCCTCCTATTCTGGAATTCTTTCTTCTTACCACTGAATTCTCTATTTCCCAGGAGAGCCAAACAGTTCTGTGGAGTCTTCAAGAGGCCTTCAGGGAGCTGGAGGGATGACTCAGAGACTACAAGCACCCGTGGTCTTGCAAGTTCAGTTCTCAGCACCCACATGGTGACTCACAGCCGTCCGTAACTCCAGTTCTAGGATCCCATGACCTCTTCGGACCTCCATGAGTACCAGGCAGGCACATGGCGCACAGACATGCAGGCATAACACTTATGTAAATGAGATAAAATTATTTAAAAAGAGAGAGGGAAGACTTCAGATCTCCTATAGTGGTTTTCCTAGTGGCTGATTTTGGAAAAAATAGTCAGTCAGTACCTGGGAATTGAATTTATATTGTGAATCTCCAATAAGTACAAACGTTGAAATAGATTCCAGTCAGTGATTTCACAAACACTGAAGGTGAAAAATATGTATGTCTTAAGTCCCAAGCTGAGACTCAGAGGAAAAAAGTTCTCTTTGTAACTGAAGAAAGAAGTGAGGAAAGGAATAAGGGGTGGGTGTCATCCCATAGACCCATAGAGAATCTTCAAGTTAAACTTACACCTGTGACAGAATGGGTACCTCCATGGTTCCCTGGTGAGACAACTTGCCAAAATGTCCAGTTCAAAGACTCTTTCATTCCCTTTGACTGTGACAGTGACGACATCTGTAGATGGAAGCCACCATTAGTCCCCTGCAGTCTTCAGAGAAAGCACACAGAGAAACCCTGTTGCTGTAATGACTTCGGGAAGGCACTTATCACAACCCAGATGGTCATCGCATCAAGAACACTCTCACTTCAGAGAAACTATGCCCCTGTGGTCAGTGTGATGAGAACTTCACATCAGAGACCCCGCCTGAAAGGAAAGAGCTGCGGGCGTGAGCAGTGTGGGACGGGCCTCCCCAGGAGCAAGCGGTCCACATGGATGAGAAACCTTACAAGTGTGACAGATGCGGGAAGGGCTTCACCAGGAGCTCAAGTCTGCTCGTCCATCACGCAGTCCACACAGGGGAGAAACCTTACAAGTGTGACCGGTGTGGGAAGGGCTTTAGTCAGGGCTCCAAGCTGCACATACACCAGAGAGTCCACACTGGAGAGAAGCCCTATGAGTGTAAGGACTGCGGCATGAGCTTCAGCCAGCGGTCAAACCTGCACATCCACCAGCGTGTCCACACAGGAGAGAGGCCGTACAAGTGTGGAGAATGTGGGAAGGGCTTCAGCCAGAGCTCCAACCTCCACATCCACCGGTGCACCCACACGGGAGAGAAGCCCTACCAGTGCTGTGAGTGTGGGAAGGGCTTCAGCCAGAGCTCAGACCTGCGCATCCACCTCAGAGTGCACACCGGGGAAAAGCCCTACCACTGTGGCAAGTGTGGGAAGGGCTTCAGCCAGAGCTCCAAACTGCTCATCCATCAGAGAGTGCACACCGGAGAGAAGCCCTATGAGTGCAGCAAGTGTGGGAAGGGCTTCAGCCAGAGCTCCAATCTCCACATCCACCAGCGGGTTCACAGGAAGGACCTTCCTTAAGTAACGGGCCTGCTCGATTCAGAACACTTTTATTGTAAGGATGAATATTTTTCATGGCTGAGGGTACAGATCAGCGGTAGATCTAGCATGCATTAAAGCCCTGGGTTTGGAGCTGGGAGGTGGTGGCGCCCACCTTTAATCCCAGCACTTGGGAGGCAGAGGCAGGCAGATCGCTGTGAGTTCCAGGCTAACCTGGTCTACAAGAGCTAGTTCCAGGACAGGCACCAAAGCTACAGAGAAACTTTGTCTCGAAAACCCAATAAATAAATAAAGCAAGCCCTGGGTTTGAGTTCCAGTACCTACCCCACAAATTTCCAGGTTAATACTTTGTACTTGCAGGAGTGTGTGTGTGTTTATGTAGAGAGGAGTACATGTGCTGTGCAGTATGTGCATGCATGTGTGCACATGGCTGTGGAGGTGAGAGGGCATCTCAGGTACTCAGATGCCTGTCACTTTTGTTTGAGACTGGGGTCTATCACTTGTGGTCTGGAATGTTACTAGTAAGTCAGGCAGCAAGTCCCGTGGCTCTACCTGTCCCTGCTTCCCAGCTCACCACAGCTAGGTTTACACGTGTTTAATGCCACACCCAACTCTTTTATGTGGATTCTGTCTGGAGCCTGCAAGACAAGAGCTTTACTGATTAAGCTATTTCCCCACGCCCTGGCTTAATACTTTTGACTCTTACCTTTGTGGTCCTCAAAAGAAAGAGTTAGTAAAGATTACTCAGATGTAGTCCCTCACAGAAAAAAAAAAGTCCGAGCACCCTGCACATTTCACGCGCTACAATGAATGGACGATTCTGGTTCCTCAAATGGGCAGAGTGGACACTGCAATTCTGCTCGTGTTGTTAGAAGTACATTCCACAATTTTAACTGCAGGAACTTTGCATTTTCCCAAGCACAGTATGCTTCCTTTGTTCATATTCTCTGAAAAATTGGAATTCACGTTTCCATCCGAATTATGTGCCAAGTTTTTTATATTCCTTTTACTTATTAAAGCCTTCTCGAAACTATGAACACGGTGTGTCTGTTTGAGGGTGGGGTGGGGAGCTGGCGCTACAGTGGACATGGAGATCTGTTGTGTTCAATACAGAAACTGTGCGTCAGATTACAGTCACAGTGCAGGAAGTGCTTTTCCACATACTACTGTGATAGACAAAGCTTCAGTCAGCCCCTCCTCTCAGGCAGCTGCTCAGGAATGTAAATAATTAGATTTTACTTAATGAATTGAGTTTGTTGATAGTAAAAACAAGGGAGAAATCTCCAAAGCAACAAATCCAAAGTCACTAGCAGAGTAAAGCTAGCATTGAGTACTGCTGAGAACAGATGATCTAGCAGAAGTTCTGAGGCAGAACTCAAGAAAGCTGGGACAGGTAGGACATGTGGCAGCCAATCAGCAGAGGCTGCAGAAACCATCTTAAGACTTGATCAGTCATTGGGCAGTGGTGTTGCACAGTTTTAATCCCAGTACTTGGGAGGCAGAGGCAGGCAGATCTCTGTAAATTCGAGGCCAGCCTGATCTACAAGAGCTAGTTCCAGAACATGCTTCAAAGGTACAGAGAAACCCTGTCTTGAAAAAGAAAAAAGAACAGCCAAAGCAAACAAACATTTGATAAATTCAAATTGGCTTATGGAGAAAGTTCTAAAGATGGGCCTTTGGTAGGCAGGTCTAATTTGCAGGACAGTGCTAAATTCTGGGAATGTTTATTTAAAGATGGCAGCAGAAATGTCTACAAGAGGACATCAACAAGAGGATCTCAGCAAAAACTTAGAGGCTAGGAAGATGGGTGGGTGGGCATGGTATCTGTACAGAAGCAAGCACGGTTTATGACACTCACATGAGGGGATAAGGAAAAGAAGGCCTGTTTTGGTTTTAGGCCAAGAGCTGCTTAACAAAATGAAGGATGGGAATGAAGCATGATGGGAAAGCCATGACACTAAGGACCAAGGATATGTGGAACATTCCCCTCATCCCACGAATACATGTTCTCTTCTGTAGCCAGATTGTAGTTCTCTATTTCCTGTTTCTCCATTTGCTGTTTCATCAATTTTAAGCTCCTACTTTACCACCTCCCTCTCTTTGCTTTGTGTTAAGTGTGCCTTTGCTTTTGAGATGGGCTCTGCAGCCCAGGCTGCCCTTGAATTTATGATCCTCCTACCACATAGGACGATCCTCTTCACACCTGGCTTTTTCTAGTCTCTGGGAGAAATTGCTATGTGTAGCCAGCCAGCCAGAACTACTCTCCAGTAAAATCTGGGATGTTTCTTCTGGCTTTGGGATCCTACAGTAGTGCAGCTCCTGAGCTCTGATATATAAAGTTTCAAAGTTACAGATCCTTTACACATTAAAAGGAATAAGAGAATTTTAGTATCACACAACTTAGATAACAATTTCTGTTGATGGCATATACTAACAAATAAGCCAAGAAATCTTGAATAGCTATTTCTTTAAAAAAAAAAAAAAAAAAAGTTGACCTGGATAGATGGCTCAGCTGTAAAGCACACCTGTTGCTTTTGCAAAAGACCAAAGTTCAGTTCCCAGCACCCATATGGTAGCTCACAACCATCTGTGACACCAATTACAGGAATCTAATGTCATTTTCTTATCTACATAGGAACCAAGAATGCATATGGTACACCATACATACATGCAAGCAAGGCACATAAAATGAATAAATCTAATAAAGTTAGATTTATTTATTTATTTTAATTATTTTTTGTTTATTTTTTGAGACAGAGTTTCTCTGTGTATCTCTGTCTTGGAACTCACTCTGTAGACCAGGTTGGCCTTGAACTCACAGAGACTTGTTTCTGCCTCCCCGAGTACTGTGATTAAAGCTGTATGCTACCATTGCTTGGCATATTTATTTATTTTGTTTATATTCAAGCATCCAAATTCTCTCAATAAAAAAGCCAAAGAAAGGGCTGGAGAGATGGCTCAGAGGTTATAAGCACTCTCCGTTCTTCTGGAGGACTCTAGTTCAATTCCCAGCACCCACATGGCAGCCCACAACTATCTGCAACTCCAGTTCCAAGGGATCCAATACAGGCATACATGCAGGCAAAACATCAATACACATAAAAATAAAACTTGTTTGTAAAAAACAAGTTTTGTTTTTCAAGACAGGGTTTCTCTGTGTAGTTTTGGAGCCTATCCTGGCACTTGCTCTCTGGACCAGGCTGGCCTTGAACTCACAGAGATCTGCCTGCCTCTGTCTTCCTAAGTACTGGGATTAAAGGTGTGCTCCACCAAGCCTAGCTTCAATTTCTTTTCAGTGATTTAAAATTTTATTGTGTAAGTCTTTCACTACTTTGGTTAGATTTCTTCCAAAATTTTGTTTTAAGTTTTGGTTAGACCAGGCGGTGGTGGCGCACTTGGGAGGCAGAGGCAGGCGGATCTCTGTGAGACCAGCCTGGTCTACAAGAGCTAGTTCCAGGACAGGCTCCAAAACCACAGAGAAACCCTGTCTAGAAAAACAAACAAAAAAATAAAAAGTTTTGGTTAGTGTGAGTGGTATTGTTTCCCTGGTCTCTTTGTCATTTATACATAGAAAGACTACTGAATTTTGTAAACTGTATCCTGCTACTTTGAATGTTGTTATCAGATGTAAAAATTGCTTGGTGGAGTCTTTAGGGTCTTTTATTTGTAAAGTCTTATCTGAAAATCAGTGTTCCTTGACTTCTTCCTTTCCCATTTGTATCCCCTTTATCTCTGTCACTGGTCTACTGTTCTAGGCAGGAGTTATAAGTACTATATTAAACAAGAGGAGATAGTGGACATCCTTGTCTTCTTCCTGATTCTAATGGAAGTGTTTTGATTTTTTTTCCCCCATGTAGCAGATGTTGGCTGTGAGCTTGTTGGTGTTGTCATAATTTATATTGAGCTATATCCCCTGTATCCCTAGATTCTCCAGCACTTTTATTATGAAGGGATGTTGGATATTTTCAAAGGCTTTTTCTGCATCTAATGAGATGATCATGTAAATTTCTGTCTTTGAGCCCATTTATGCGGTTCATTATATCCATGAGTTCGAGGTCAGCCTGGTTTACAAACCAGATGAATTTATTGGGGGCTTACAGTCTGAGGGGTTATAGTCCATAATGGCTGAGTTGTAGCAGGCAGCTGGAACAGCGACTGAGGCTAATATCTCAAACACAGTCACAAGCTGGCAAGAAGCAGAGAAAGTTAACTTTCATACCTCAAGGCCCACCCCTAGTGACATCTACAAGATGTCCTCTAGAAATTTGGCTGATAAGATAATTCTGAGTTTCTGTTAAACAAGAAAAAGGAGTAGGCTTGGGGTGGGGGCAGGAGACCAAGACAAGGTTTGGGTCTTCTGAACATTCAAGTGACTATGCAGAGAAAATGGATGCATGCATCCCGCAGGTGAAAACAGAGCATCACTAGAGAGATTATCCAGAGAGATCTGGCCCAGAGAAGACTGATGAGATTAGACGACACTGCCAAGAGGAGCCTGAGACAAGGAGATGATGAAATCAAGGCAGGAACTGCCAACAGACCACACAAACATTCAGACATAGAAAGAAAAGATAAGACCTGTGAACGATGAGGGAAGGAAAATAAAGAGCACATGGCATCCTGGAAGTGAGGAGACGCAGAAGAAAAGTAATCAGTGGGTTTGAGGGTCACACGCAGAACAAGGGAGACTCAACCTTGGGAAGTCACCCCGAGAGCTCTTCAGCAGTAAGGAGCAGGACAAAGCCAAGGCTTTGAGTCCCTCGCGTGCTGCTGATCTCTAGCTCATCTTCACACAAACAGAGACAGAAAGAAAAACTAACTGTGAAAAACCTTTAGTGTGACTGAGGACATGTGAAATGGTACAGGTCATCACTCTGATCTTGGAATAAGCACCAACTTTCCCCCATCTAGGGATGACAAATGACAAATTAGAAACAGTCCCACCTATGTTCTAAGGGACAAACTAAAACACAGAGTCATTGAATCTACAATTTAGAAAATCTACATCAAGAGGGCTGAGAATGGGGCTGGAGAGATGGCTCAGTGGTTAAGAGCATTGCCTGCTCTTCCAAAGGTCCTGAGTTCAATTCCCAGCAACCACATGGTGGCTCACAACCATCTGTAAAGAGGTCTGGCGCCCTCTTCTGGCCTTCAGGCATACAGACAGAATATTGTATACATAATAAATAAATAAATAAATAAATATTTAAAAAAAAAGAGGGCTGAGAATGTAGCTCAGTAGAATGCTTGCCTAGCACTGCTTGGTGAGGCATGCCTGTGCATCAGCACCCAGGGAGGAAAAGGCAGAAAGATCAAAAGTTCAAAGTTATCCTTGGCTATACACAAACTTGGGGCCAGTCTGGGCTACATAAGACACTGTCTCATAAATTATAATGATAATAAATTACAAAAAAAGAAAATCTAAACCGGGCAGTAGTGGTGCATGCCTTTAATCCCAGCACTTGAGAGGCAGAGGGAGGTGAATCTCAGGGAGTTCGAAGCCAGTCTGGTCTACAAAGCGAGTTCCAAGACAGTCAGGACTGTTACACAGAAAAACCCTGTCTCAAAAAAGAAGAAAGAAAGAGCCGGGCAGTGGTGGCACATGCCTTGAATCCCAGCACTTGGGAGGCAGAGGAGGGAGAATCTCTGTGAGCTCGAGGCCAGCCTGGCCTACAAGAGCTAGTTTCAGGACAGGCTCCAAAGCCACAGAGAAACCCTGTCTCGAAAAAAAAATGAGAGAGAGAGAGAGAGAGAGAGAGAGAGAGAGAGAGAGAGAGAGAGAAGGCAAGAGAAAGGGAGGAAGGAAGAAAAGAAAATCTAGATCCCAGATACAATCCTAGTGATTTTTTTTTTCATGACAGGTTTTCTTTGTGTAGCCTTGGCTGTTCTGAAAGTAGCTCTGCAGACAGGCTGCTTTCTTTTCTCAGCTCTGGACTCTCCCAGATGCCTCTGGATATTTTCTCTCTCTTGTCCACAATAAAAACCTTACCCTTGCCAGGCTGTGGTGACACACACCTTTAATCCCAGCACTCAGGATGTAGAGGCAGGCAGATCTCTGCGAGTTCGAGGCCAACCTGGTTTATAGTGCAAGCTCCAGGACAGACTCCAAAGCTACAGAGAAACCTTGTCTCGAAAACAAAACAAAACAGAAAGCTTCCCCCCTAATGGAATGGTTGTGTTGGTAGTTTCTTTACTGCAACCTCTTGATTACTTATAGCAACACTCTATCTCAAAAAATAAAATGTAGTATCTAAGAATACTAGTTGTTCTGGCAAAGAATAAAGGTTCAGTTCCCAGGTATCCACATGTTGGCTAACAACCATCCATAACTCTAGTTCTAGGAGATTGGCAAAACATTCACATATACAAAATAAATCTTTAAAATAATGTAAGATAATCTGCGTATAAAATTATTTGGGAACAGGCAAAAGCACCTTGTCCTAAGTACTTTCATTTTCACTTTAGACTCCATTTTACCTGTAGGGTGAAACAGAGTTCAGATTCTCAAGTGGTGGGGAAGCTGTGAACTTTCCAATAGCTGACCCACCTCCTCCTAAATAGTCTGTTATGATCTTTAGCTCTCTAAAAACATTATGGTTGTTCCTAACAACAGAAAGAACAAATGAATCTGACTGGTTCGACTGAAAAGTTTGCATTCTGTGTCAGTTGACAATGATGGAGCAGAGAGGGGGAAAGCCCTAATCTTGAATCCTGATTGGTAGAAAAGTGTAACTGTAATTTGGCACAGATGTTTGTGGGTTTTGTGCTTAAATACTTGCTGAAGCACTCAGCTCCCGAATCTGTACTGTGGTCCCTGATCAATCAGTTTCTGTGGTTTTGCCCCGAAATAAATCTTGCTTTTCTAAACCTCTGCTTGGGTTGACTGGGAGTCTCAGACCCACAACAATAGTTAGGTTACCAGATACTGAATAGTTAAATATATAATAACTACTTGAATTTCTATATGCCAGTAATATTCAAGTACAAATAATTTTTATGCCAAAACAGAAAACATCAGCATAGAAGATAATCATTGGTGAGAAAAATTAAATTAGACTAAGTGCAGTATATGGTGGTGCACGCTTTTGATCCCAGCACTAAGGAGGCAGAGGAAAAAGGATCTCTGTGAGTTTAAGGCCAGCCTAGTGAAATAGTGAACTCCAGCATAGCCAGGACTATGTAGAGAGACACTGTCTCAAAAAAAAAAAAAAGTAAATTGAGAAAAATGCCATGTTCATAAATTGTAATGTGACCATTCTCCTAAATCAATCTATAGATTTAAAGCAATACTAAATTCCATCAGTTTAAGGGTATAGATAAGGAGAGAAATGACAAGATGATTAAATTTTACACCAAAATTAAAAGATAATCTGGGCATGGTGGCCCACACCTTAATACCCAGCACTTGAGAAGCAGAGGCAGGGAGATCTCTTGTGAGTTTGAGCCCAGACTGATCTACAGAGACAAAAAGTAGCCAAGGCAATCTAAAAAAAATAAAGGCAGAGAACTAATACATATAGAAATGCATGTTTGTTTGTTTATTTGGTTGTTATTTGTTTGGTATTTTTCTTCTTTTTCTTTTGCTTTTTTGTTTTTTTTTGTTGTTGTTGTTGTTTTTGTTTGTTTGTTTTGTTTTGAGAAGGGTTTCTCTGTAGCTTTGGAGCCTGTCCTTGAACTAGCTCTAAAAGAAAAAAAAAGATTTATTTATTTATTATATATACAATATTCGGCCTGCATGTATCCCTGTGGGCCAGAAGAGAACACCAGATCTCATTACAGATGGTTATGAGCCACCCTGTGGTTGCTGGGAATTGAACTCAGGACCTCTGGAAGAGCAGCCTGTGCTCTTAGCGTCTGAGCCATCTTAACCATGCCTAAACTAGCTCTTGTAGATCAGGCTGGCCTCAAACTCACAGAGATCCACCTGCCTCTGCCTCCCAGGTGCTGGGATTAAAGGCGTGTGCCACCACCACCCAGCTTTGTTTGCTATTTCGAAACAGGGTTTCTCTGTGTAGTCCAGGCAGCCCAGTAACTCACTCTGTAGGTCAGGCTGGCCTTGAACTCAGAGATCTACGCGTGAGTAAAGGCTCGTGCAACCTCTCCTGGCTGACATGCATATTTTTTAAATGTTTTTAAGAGTTCTGTGGGCGGGGCACAAGGTTAGCTAGACTGAGACCTCTGCAATCCAGACAACTGGAATCCAAAAGGAGATTTACACACACGTTGTCACCTGATACCTTCACAAGATCCCATTTACAATTCTGGTGGGAAAGTGTTAATTCCAAAGATGGAAGGAGAAAGACCACAGACGCAAATGAACAAGGCCAAACTAATTAAAGTAAGCCATTAATTAGAGCAGGGTTTTTTATTTGTGTACACAGCTATCTCCCTCTATGGCACAAATTGAGGTCAGCACTGGGTGAAGACAAGGCTTTTATAGCTCAGGGATAGGGGCTTTCCGAATGGGGGATTTGCCAGGCAAAACAGGAGGTATTACTAGAACAGAACGTAAGCATAACAAGTTAGTCCCTCCTGAAACAGATATGTTTGCAAGGCGTGCAGAACAAGGCAGACACAGGTGCTCATATAACCGTTTGAAACAAAGTAGGGTTGCAAGATGGTCATAAACATCTTTTTGAAGCAAAAACACAATTGCCATTTCTGTAACAGGCACTTCAGAACCATTTGTAACTAAGGTGGGGCACAGTCAAATCGAAAAAATGGTTTAATCATGAAAAGGAATGAATCTAGTTTCTCTTTAGTAAAAGATGGCTTTTGAGCCACAGATGGAGGCAAGCTGGTTCTTCAAACAGTATTCTTCTCATTTAAATGGCACCACAAGAGCTAAACAATCACAAGTAATTTTGTTTTTGTTTTTCGAGACAGGGTTTCTCTGTAGCTTTGGCTGGCCTCGAATTCACAGAGATCTACCTGCCTCTGCCTCTCGAGTGCTGGGATTAAAGGTGTGCGCCATCACCATCTGGCCACAAATAATATTTTATTTTATTTACGATTTTTCAAGACAGGGTTTCTCTGTGGCTTTGGAGCCTGTCCTGGAACTAGCTCTGTAGACCAGGCTGGTCTCGAACTCACAGAGATCCGCCTGCCTCTGCCTCCCGAGTGCTGGGATTAAAGGCGTGCGCCACCACCGCCCGGCTCACAAATAATATTTTAATGTGCACAGGAGCTGGCTCAACAGCCGGTTAATGCTTGTTACAGGAAGGTGAAGATCAACTTCAGACTTCCAGCACTTAAGAGGCTAGGGCCCAAGACAACAGATAATGATGGGCTACTATGACAATGAAGCCCAAGCCCAAGGTGGTACTAGAGCCGTGTGTGTGTGTGTGTGTGTGTGTGTGTGTGTGTGTGTGTGTGTGTGTGTGTGTGACAGAGGGAGAGGAGCCATGGCTCACGTGTAAATTCTTTAATTCAAAGCATGTCAAGTGTCTTTCTTGATTTATGACGTTGTTCTGTTATTTCCAACATTTCATCCAATTATTACTAGATTAAACATGGACTTTCGGGTGACCTGCATCTCTTATCCCGGGTCACAGTCCCTCATACGTGGCTCTAGAATAAAGTCCCTCATACCATCTTTGAAGCAAGAGTATCAACACTTTATCGTGGAAAAGGGGCATAGTGTGAACGGTAGCGGGCTCTGCACGCAACCCTAATGGCTTCACAGCTGGGCCAGCTACACAACTACACACCTCCTCTCACACTCCTGGGGACTAAAATCGGGTTTACCACACTAGTAAACTTGATGAACCACTTCCGGGCGCCGCTCTACGAACTTCCGATATCCAGTTCTGTCGGGCGAGCTCACACCGGGTATGGCGTCCTCCATTATAAAGTATGATTCAAAAGCCCAGAGACACCACAACCCGAAAAGTACAAGCGCCTTAAGGGGGCGAAGTCCACACGGCAGCGGCAAATGGCAAGGCCAGAGCCGTGGGTCCCCCGCGCGGCTTCCCGCAAACCCGGGAGACGAACGCACGCAATTTAAGCCGCTGATTGCGCAGTCCGCCGGGCGCGCCCTCTCCTTGGCGCCAAATCGCGCTCTCGCGCTCCGGCCTGAGCTGCACCGCGCGTGCGCAAGAGCAACGTCCGGCGTTCTGGCGCTGCGCGCCAGGGGGCGAGCTGTGTCCTCTGCGGACCGGATTCGCGACGCCGCGCGTGCGCAGTAGCAACCGAAGGCCAGCGTCCCGGGCACGTGTGTGGCCCCGGGGAGAAAAAGGTCTAAGTGACAACCGTGTGCTCACAGGAGGTCGCGGCGGAGGTAGTGATGGCATTAGCGTGGTATGGCATGCTGTCCTCGCAGAGCTACGCCAACAGAGTGTGTAGATCAAAATGCAGTCCACCCAGTGAAAGTGGCTGGCGGGAGTGCTCGCCTAGCTCTGTGAGGCCCTGGGTTCCGTCCCCAGTACCTCAAAAGCATGGAGGAAGTGACTCAGCCGCACCTCCCTTAGGTGACTTTTACAAAAACAGGATTTGCAGTGCGGGAACGCTACAAACTTCGGAGAGCGCATGCGCATCTGACTTCTCTCCTTTTCCCTGCTTGGACCCGGGGAAAGCAGGATGAGTCATGCGGCCAGGGTTGTCGCTCCTTCCGCGCTTGCTCAGACCGCCAGGATCGGATCCGGAAATGTAGGCTGAATACGAGTGCGCAGTTTCTGTCCCTATCGATTGGCGCGTGCCGGGTCTTTGTACATTAAGAAAAAAAAACTTTCAGAAAACAACAACAACAAAAAATAAATAAAGGGCCTAACTTTTCAGGAAACAATACTGCCGTTTTCTTGGCTTGAGCTTGGAGCAGAGGTCAGTGGGGAGATTACTCGCCTTTGCCAAGTATGTGCAAAGACCGCCAGTCCGATTCCAGAATCAGACAAAATTTATTAATAAATATTCGGATTTTAAAAAATAACTGAGTAATAAAGTCGCACAAGTTAGCAAACCACCCACGAGAATCTCAGAGCACCTATAGGTACTTTATGAGAGGCTGAAGAATGAAATAAAACTTTTGTGCTAGAGAAAAGAGGCGCTGTATACTAATAACAATTTGGTATTCACCGGTTTTGAAATTGTAACATGAGATTAGCCTGGGCTACATAGAGAGACCATTTGAAAAATAAAAATGAAAAACAAAGCCCCAAATATTAAGAAACCTAATAGCTGGAACTTAGGGAGTAACATAAACCTTGCAGATATTCACGACTTGGATTTGCACGGTGCCGACTCCCACATACACAGGACTGTACTGAATGCAATGGGTCCTAGTTCGTTACCACGGTTTAGACAGCTCCGGTGTGAAAACATGACCCAGACTTCTGGTTACTGGAGTACATTAACTGTGAGTAACCACGAAAGCGCACACCTAGCTGCTGGCGCTAGTCTGCAAACATCTGTGCTAATCACAGATGAACAATGTTGGTATTCATTGTAAATGTGGTAGCGAACTCACACGGGGACAGAAACGCGTGGTTTTGTGAACTTCTTGCCTCAGTGCTAAGCTGCTGTGGTTATCAACAACCGCAGACTACCTAACGACGTCTGAACCTGGGCACTGAAACCATTGCGTAGCTGCTAGCACTACACATTTGCGTCCAGAAGATTACTCTAGGTCCCCTTTATTTTAAATGCCAGCCATAACCTTGAAGTTGTGATTTACACCTGTAATACCAGCTCTCAGAAGGTGGAGGACAAAATATGACGTTAAATAGTGTGTTTATTCCGGTGGTGGCAAACACCTTTAATCACAGCGCTTGGGAGGTAGATGGACCTCTGTGAGTTCGAGGCCAGCTTCGTCAACAGAGCTAATTACTGTATTAGCTAATGCTAATACGGGGCTACACAAAGAAACCGGGTCTCGAAAAACAAAACAGTTTATACTTTTTGCCTAAGAGAATTATAAATTGCTAAGAGCACGCAGGAGATGGCTCGGTTGGTTAAGTACTTGCGGTGGAAACATGAAGTCCTTGGATTACCGCCTTAGGTGAGCTTTCCCAGAAGGCTATACTTCCTACAAGTTTGCAAGGCTTGTTGCTGGGAATGAGCCCCTTGAGACTCCATTGGGATGGGGTGGGGGAGCTCTGAAGCTAGTGTTTGATTTTTTTTTTCCTTTAAACTTTACCTTTTTTGTTGTTTTCTTTTATTAGTTGTTTGGTTTCTTGTTTCTCCCCACCTCCCCACCTCTTGCTGGCATCCGGCTTCTGACAAGTTAGGACCCTCCTGGCTCCACTTCCAGAGGTACCAGGATCAGGTTTGACCACCACACAGTTTTACAAATGGCTTTCCTTAGACTTTATCCCATGCATACCTTCCCTTTTACTGATTCTAGTTTGCATCCTTATAGTGTATTGTGGATTGCGTTTTGGGGTCTGGGTTACTCAGTCTAGGGGTTAGTAACCCACCCGCAATCCAGTTATTCCAGGGTCTCGGAGGGGCGCTACCTGGAAGGGAATGAGCTAAGACAGAGGAACGAGACCAAGCAACTTTGTCAAGGCCTCAGTTTATTAGGGACGGGTTACAGTTTATATATGGTAAGGGATGAGGGGCAGGGTAC